ATGGCCTTCTGACACATGACACCACGATTAGATGGTACACCCCTAGAAGTCCAAAGACTATATGTTGACCGGCTGCAGTAAAGGAAGTTCCCTTTCAGTTCCCCTAAAGACCATTCTTTTTATAGTCTTTGACTCCCAGATTTATATGGCATACTATAGGTGGACCTTCTGACCCTCTGGTAACCTGGCCTCACAGTCTCAAACGGTCTTGTTGCGGGAATCCATGGGCTTCAGCCCGGCGCGGTCCCTGCACCCGAAGCCTCCCAAATTGGCACCCCGGATGTTTTCGGAGGCCGCACCCTTTAAGATCTCTAAGGTGGCACAAAAGAACAACCCCCCCCCTAAGACTCCGCGCCCAAACCAATGGAAAGGGTCTGGTTCGGGTACAAGGTAAGTGGATCCGGGAGGGTCCAAAGCATGTGTCTCTTAGGGCCAAGAAAACTATCCCCTCCAGATCCAGCGACAGTTGGCCACTACCGCGATTCTGAGGGTCGGGGCTGGGCTCAACGCCGAGCGGCTGAGGAGATGGGAAAGGGCAAGGGAAAGTCCTACGAGGACCCTTACGCCTGGGGCCCCCCGCCCAGCAAGGTGGGCGGAGCCGTATTCATGGGAGGTGGAGTGGTGACCCTAGGGATCCAAGTACCTTCTCAGAAGGTGATTGGAGACACTCTTATGTAGGTTTTGAGGCTCCAAGTGCCTTCTGAGAAGGTACTTGGATCCCTAGGGTCAAGCTTATGTTCTTTGTCTTTTTCCTGTCCGGAGCCGTTTGAGCTTCGTGTTCGAGAATCGATGGATGGAGGGATGGACGTCACGGTTCGGGAAGCGCGGCAGACGTCCGCGGTGGTTGGCAAGCAGGCTTCGGAGGTTTCGTCGGTGTTTGCTTTCAGAGTCGTGAAGCTTGTGAAGAATTTTCAACCCTAGGGCTCCTGGCCCATATCCTCAGGTAAGGTGGTTAGAACCCCCTGGCACCCACCCCTGGCCCACCGGTCACCTCAGGAGGTGGGCCAGGAGCCCAAACGGGAAAACTCAGACATCCAGACCCAGACACTCCATGGGAGTCTCAATGAAGGAATCTATTCCAGTCTCATGGGCCGTGTTTGGGAGATGCATGCGAAGAAACGATCCCTTGCTCCAGGGCAAGGGCAAAGGAAAAGGCAAGGGATGCTTGGCAGTCTCGTGAGGCTCCAGTGGTGGTGAGGGGCCCGTTTCTAAGCTACCAGGAGTGATGGTGAGGGGTTAAGATGGTTAAGATGCAATCCCATATTTTGCTGGGGAAAGGTGTTTCTTTAATGATTTACCGACCTCGTCCAGCAATCGTAGTCTTGGCTGGAGTATCGTTTTCTCACAAGTTATCCGGCTTGTTGAGCTACTATAGCTGGTGGTCAGGAGGCAGCTAAAGAGCGGTCGGGGTATTCACCTTTCAACATGGAGCCGTTCGGAGCTACAGTGAGTTTTCTAACCACTGGCTAGACCATATTGGTCGGTTGTGGAGGGTCTGTTTTTCCTTGTTTCTGTGGATGCTCAGAACCTGTGCCATCTCGCAGGTTACAAGCGTGTGGCTGAAGCCACGCACAGTGATTGAGAACAAGCAGAAGCTTCCAGTTGTAAGCAATGGGACCATGAGCCCACTGGAAAATCAATGATTCAGCACCCAAAGCTGCAAAATTTAAGGGCTGCCGCCCCTGCCGCCGACCCCGGATTCTCAGGTCCGGCTTTTCCTCCACTGGTTGGCATTGCGAGGGTTTTTCGAAAAGGGGTTTCAGTCGTCCTTTTAAAGGTTGCTCTTCTGGAATCGTCGTTTCTTTCCGGTGTCGAGGTCGGTGCCCGTGCGGAGCGTTTCATTGCCTGCTCTCTGGATTGTTTGCTAGCATTTTCCACCACTAACCAGCCTCCCAAAAAGCATCTGAAACCACCCCTTCGCCACGGCTTTAACCCATTGAGTTCAGCTCCAAACGAGCCCCAATTCCTCGGACGTTCGGTGTCAAACGGACGCTCTGGATTCCTAGAAAAAAGACAAGTTGCTAGCATTTTCCACCACTAACCAGCCTCCCAAAAAGCTTCCACCAACAGCCTGCCAAAAGCTTTCCAGCCTCCCAAAAGCATCTGAAATCACCCCTTCGCCACGGCTTTAACCCATTGAGTTCTGCTCCA